GCTTTTCTGATAGGAAAGCGAATCTAGTTGGTACTTTGGGGGGGTCAAAAGTAAAAATTTCCAAGTAGTTTTCACAAGCGCCTGGAAAAATAACATAAAAGTTAAGGAAAATCGGGAATTTTTACGCAAAATCAGTTTTCCAAAAAATCGATTTTGGTTTTTGGTGTAACTCTAAAAGAAATGAACGTATATACATGAAATTTTCACTGGTTGTTTATATTTGCATTTTCTATACACGATAACATTTTTTTTAAGCACCTTTTTTTTTTTACGTGATTTCATGTTGTTATTTTAATCTCATGTGTCAGTTACTTATTGTTTATGAAAAAAAATACTACAAATTGTAACACCTTATTGTTCTATGGTAACATAACACGTAGATAGTTACATTACTACATTGCATAGTGCACCGAGTATGTCGTGGTGCACACTAAAATAGCCACTGACACGTATCGTACTGTTTTGGCTTACGAGTTACGGTCCGTGCTTAATTATTATTTTATCTGTCGTCTTTTTACTGTAATACAGCAATATTTAAATACCGTTATGTTTTAGTTACCATTTTTTTGAGTTATATTTCTGTTGTTAGTAGTTATTTCAGCACACGCCCGTCACCCACACATATGTACACACACATTTACACACCCACCACACACTAGCCTTGCCGAGCAAGTCTTTGATAGTCTTGCTCGGTGAACCCGTCCACTTCGACCGAATTGCGAATACATGTATGCACTCATCATACGCAGGTCTTTGGGGTGTGAGTGTGATACGAAGTATTGTGGATACCAAGGTCTATTGTTGTTCGTTTCCGGCCCAAACACTCGTTTTTAATAACCGTGTTTTAGCTACTAAAATTAAGGGTGTCAGAAATTAAAACAATTAGTTACACTTTTGATTCGTTTATTAGGCATTAGAAAACATGAGATACACATTAGGTACAAAAAATATAAACAGCAGCTACAACACGTCGCGGAGTACATGAAAAGTCGTGCACCGCGGTAGCTATTTTAATTTTAAACAACAGTAGAACACGTCCCGTCGGCGGAGCACATGACCGCGGTCGTGTGTATAAACAGAAGGAGGCAGAAGTACAACTGATTCAGGGCCTCGGCCTGGAGAACCCGAGGAGGTGGCTATCAGCGGGACCACGCTATCAACTGTAAGTATAGAAATTATATATAGGTACTTGACAACAGAAAATATTTTACAGTTTAGGTGGTATGTTGGAACGTACCTCAATTTTACAATTGTTGACGACATTTAAACGATGGTCATGACTTTCGTCATAAGCCCAGTCAGACATTATTTTCTTTGATCTTACCCTATACACCATTTGCATGTGTGGTGGTAAATCACGATATGCATTGTAATTTGTCCCCGCAAACTTAACAGGCTCTGTAAATAAAATAAAAAATTAAACGACAATATAGAAAAAACTTGTGTTGATATAGTTTTTGTCGTTCTTTTGTTTTGCTTATTATAATATTTTTAAGTTCTTATATGAATGCTCAGGTATATGAAGTATTTAAGTGCTTTTTTTTATGTATAGGTTCTCTAAATCCCAAACCCCGGTTATGACTGTTATGAGTGTATACAATTTTACAATTTAAAAATTCACATATCCGACATGTTCTTAACTTTGTTATATAATAGGTCAAATCACCCTAAAACTAAAGATAACAACACAAGGTCGGTTCTGCTAAACACACATTATGTATGTTGAGCGTGGGTTAGAGAGAGAAAAAAAACTGTACAGACATCCTCTTAATAACAACTGCAAAAATTACAAGAAATAATAATATAATATTATTATATACAATTTGTTTTAGCAACAAACCTACCCATAATATGACTAATAGAAAAATTAATTACGAAATAACAATATAAATACCTATATTAAAATACCCATACAAGTTACTAAAAAAACAAGTCCGTCTCTTCTCAAAATCGTTTTTCATACGCAATGATTTATCCTATAGTATTATTATATAAAAAAAAATGCTAACATATCCATTACAGTGACTCAATAATGTGGTACACACAACACTTATACAGCAGTAGATTTTTAAACTATTTTAAAACTAAAAACAATTACCCTCATCCATCCAGCCCTTGGAATTCATTATTTTTAGTTTCTTTATCAAACATTTTAATGTCGATGACATCCCATGGTTTTCCATAGAGGATACAAGTTTATTGATTTTTTGGTTCAAATCATATGACGTCTGGAAAAAAAACTATTTATATTAAACAATTTCTTCGTAGCAATTTTTTGTTGTTACTTTTGATAATATTAGCCCAACTGATTGTAATATTATACACAAACAGTGCATTTGTAGTTCATAGTTGTTGTCATTCTTCTCTTTACCTAAATCTCCAATGCACTTGAGTATATACTTTTCTGGGAACGCGCCGTTTTTAAACAGTTCGCCAATAAATCTATCAAAAGTAATAATTTACATAAATAAAAATAACGAAAGTGTTAATTAAATAATACTAATTCAAAACACACCTGCAATTGCATATGGATCTTTTCTGGAAATCGAATAGAAAATTATTTAAAACTCCGGATAAACACTTCTTCGGTACCTGGTAAACAAATAATAGTATGTATAAGTATTATTGAACCAACTTCTAAAAATTAGTAAACTTATTTTGAATTCAGAATTACATATAATTTCATACAGGATTTAGGAATAAAAATAAAACGTATAAAGGTATTTTAATAATATGTTGAGAACCATAGATGATAATAATCATAAGTCATAACAAAATATAATGACAACATAACTATATTTACCATATTTACCATATTAACATTTTTCATTGTATCTTTTAATTTATTCAATTCTTCTTGATAGTTTGAATAAAAAACATCGTGACATTTTTTTAATAACACTTTTTGAAATGTTATTTCAGTATCGGAAGCAATAAGATTATTAAACTTGGAGTCATTGATCAAACGTGCACACATCTGAGCGTATAAGTGTGTATAATTTTGTCTTTTTAAAGCCTAGATGGATATAACGATAAAGCAATAGATAAAATAAAACGTAAAACGCAATGATAATATTATAAAAGTTCAATTAGAAGTTAGAACTATAATCAATATTAATTTTATACACAATATACATACTCGATCAAATATTATATTTGTTATGTCATCGAGTAGTTTAACATTATTTATTGGCAAAGCCATCATTTTTTGTGTCATCTTAACCCAGTTGACATCATTTAAATGGTAAACAATCGATCTTACAGTATTTAACACATGCTAAAATAATACAAATTAAAAAAAAATGATGATTAAAATGTATAAATATATAGAGACTAAATAACACTTAATATTGCATGAATAATAAATAATAACTATTCTATCTCATCTAATTGTGTATATTAATACACTATATGCTTATGTTCATCTAGGCTGAATTTAGTTGAAAATACCAATCTAGAGACACCTAGGTATCCTGTCTATATTCCCACCTTTTAATTGTGGTGCTGATTATTGTTTTCGTCAGGTTAGAATGTTGGATTAAATATTATGTAATAATGAACAATTTAACTTATTTATAACATATTATGAAAATTATATATAAAAGAACCATTAAAATTTTAAAAATGTGTAACATTGTGTATAACATTGAATACTTACATCAGAGTTATTTTTTTGTTCCATAATAATTTTTTTTTCAATTTTATGAACCTCAGTCTTCAGTACAAACAAAAAACTGAAAATAAAATAAAGTAAATTATAAGAAAGAAACAGATTTAAATTTAATAATAATAATAAATGAATACAACATTTTATTTAGAAACTGATTGTAATAAAACACAAATAATATGTTAAATCAAAAATTTAATTATTTACCACTTTGTATACGTATTATATTATAGTCCTAACTTAATTTTTCATAATGGCTCAGATTTGTATTATTATTATAATAATCATTACAATATTACCATTAAAGAAATTACATTTTTCATACATTATATTACATTGAATTGGAAATCCATATAACTTAATACGAAACTAATAGATACATTTTAAACAGTGTTGAACTGTTGAAGAATAGATATTTGTGTTGAACTATATGAATAATATTGTAACAATTTTTTTAAATAAAATCAAAATTTTGTTTCATTCTTCCAAGTATTAGGTATTTTCAAGTCCAATTTATCTAATTGTTATTTAGTAAACCAAGTACAAAAAAATCAAGAATGCTCATCGATAAATATGGTCTGCAGACATACCTAGTTCGGAGTTTCGGACTCAAGATTATTTTTTCGGTAATATTATATTATAAATTGTAATCATGAAATACCTACTATTTACTACTTAGTACAATTATGATTATGCTAAAAAGTACTAATTCTATATAATTATCCATACAATTACAATATTACTGTCACATAAAATAATTAATGTACCTTACTTGTAGTTATTTGTGTATAGAGTATTAATTACTAGTTCGTATAATCTTCAATTGACACGTAAATATTAATCAATAGAAACGGACTTTACTGCAGGTCTGAACTCAATGACGATAATTGGAAAATGAGTACTAAATACTAATGCAGGTATAATTTATTTATATTATTATGTTGCCAAGTATTTGTTATTATACATAACACACCAATAGCAACCATTTAAATTACTTAGGTACTGCTTAATAACAATATTATACGCTAATGCAGGCCAAGTATTAAACTATACCTAGCAATTAACAATGGTTAAAAGCTCACTGAATAGGTGTACAACTTAAGTCACCCAAATGTCTATACTATATAGTTACTATATTTAGAAACTACCACAGAACAAGAACTGCAGTTTACTACGTATAATACTATACTTTCTCGATCAATATATATAGAACAATCGTGCATCTTCGCTGCAGTGTATTGTGTACGCAGAAAACCATAAAACAACAAAATTATAAAGGTTATATTATTATAGTTTATATCTCAGACATGACAGACATTCTTGCGCCGGCGTGATGTTTGGATACGACATTGTTAAAAAGTGTGCCGTCTTAACCTGCTTAAAGTGGGCAGATTGGTCCAGGTTTGTCGAACAGAAATGTGCGGTTATTAGAGTCAACGGTTTGAATTATCGATTTCAAACGATGTGTGTCCTACACAATTATAGTGGCTTGAAATACGTAGAAATCGGTATCACGAGCATATATATATATCACGGAGGATCAACAGTCGTTCATGGCCTCTCAAGTCGGGTTCACACTACACCGTGTCGTGTGATTTCGTATCTGTATGATTATACCAAAATGAGATACCAATGATATTAATATTGTATCTGATGATAACTTATTATATTATTTTATTTTAGCCATCACTTTTCCGCACATAAATGTAACCACACGGTCAAAAATTGAATATATTCAATTTTGCAGTATCGTTTGGTAACTGTGCAGGTGGTAACTGTGATTATTTTACACTTCACGCCGCCCACTGTTGCTATATTAACCAAGTATGAACTATACCAACTACCAAGACAGTTCCACGAATTAAGATAGTATATTATTATTCATGGACAGCACTCGCCAGCTCCGAAACCGCAGAACTCGCGGAGTCGTAAGCAGTCTTGTTCAATATTTGAGTATACAAGTATACTTGTATGCTTTTTTTGTATTTCAAGTACTTTTTGAACAATGTATTAAACAAATACTTTTTATATGCTTTTTAAATTTTGTTTCTAAAATATTATTTTATAATAGTTCTTATGTCTGAGAAGTCAAGCAGATAACAGAATGACTGAACACTGAAACCCCCGGACGGCTCGTCACTCCTATACATACCAATTACCATGGCATACGAGACACTGACACAATAAAAAAAAAAGTACACCACTGGTTGGATTGGCTGTTATTTTGAATATTTAAATAGTGTTTCTTCTTAATTTAAAGTTGTAATAAGTAAAAGCACTAATACAATTTTAAATTAAAAATTATTATTGTATTTCTTGTATCTAATTAGCTAATAATTTTAATATAAGGTATTAATGTTATTGAACTTTAAAAAAAAGTATTTTAAATACTTTTTAAAGTTATTTGTATTTATATTTAAATACGTAGGTATTTTAAACACAAATTACACCAAGTATTTAAATACGTATTCTGAATACATTTGAAAAGTATTCTTAACAAAATTGCTCGTAACTCATAAACAGCGACCACCGGTGGCTATCGATTGCGTCTGATAACGCGGCGTATCCAATGTCGATTTACATATTTTTCAATTTTCAAATCTTAAAATATATAAACCATCAATCAACGCAGCAATGATAATATATCTATATAACAATCTTTGCGCTGTCATCGTGCCCGTACCAATAATTGTTGTTATATTATACTATAGGTCATAGGTACTAGGTAGGCACTTTGGGAAATCGTTACACATTGTGTGCGTATCATTATTCATTATAATAATATTATTATCGGTGCCTAACCGGAATAATACTTTTACTTTCTCTAAAGTTCTCGCAAGCGGCCCTTCGCCCTTTTATCACGGATTTGCGGTGCCGTTGCAAATTACGATCGTTACCTACAACACTAATACACCGAGTTTTTGCGGTCTTGGCGATCATTCATTTTCCCCACAATGCAAGCGCAAACGTAACGCGATGTAATAACAACAACGACAATAACAATAATTACGACCGGACGCCGCCGAATCGAGGCGAAAACTCGAAAGTGAAAAGTTAAAAAAAAACCGCCATAGACACGAGCAACGGCACGCCGCCGCCGCGGAGCGCAGGTTCGCGTTGAGGTCATACCCTTGGTAGTTGTTGTAGTTACACTCGTACCGTCGTCGTTTGCTCCACTCTCGGCGAACCAGTCGGCCGGCGGGTCGACCTTGGCGGCGGTAGAACATACTGCCGATATTCCGGGCGGCGGGGACCTTGATCCGTTTCGCTGGTCGTTTTTATCGCGGTTATCGCGCCGACCGCCCGTCCGCGCCATTCACCCAGTGACCGTGTCGCCGTCTACACGCACTCCGAACGCGAACACCATGAGTGGCAAGTGAGTACAACACCTATGGAGATATGATTGTATTTTGCTCAGAGATTTTAAACGAAATTGTCTTACTTTACATCGTCTGACCCGATCGGATAATAATATTATCGTTACGGTCGTATGACGCGCCAACCGTTTTCACCATTTTTTCTGGCCCACCACTGTTGTAGCTGCTGACATGTCTTATTTTGCTTCGCAGATCAGACATCGGACTCATCGGCTTGGCCGTCATGGGCCAAAATCTCATACTCAACATGAACGATCACGGGTTCGTGGTCACGGCCTACAACAGGACCGTCGAGAAGGTGGACGAGTTCCTGCAAAAGGGTGCCAAAGGCACGAACATCGTTGGCGCACACTCGCTCAAGGAATTGGTCGACTCGTTGAAAAAGCCTCGCAGAGTCATGATGCTCGTCAAAGGTGAGTCAAATCTATACGGTTATCGTCTCGAATAGGTAGGCACTACCCAACGTCAGCTCAAGTAGATCAGGTACACTTGGACCGACTGCCTTCTATGTGAGTCCCGTTTTCAAACTAATATCCAGAACACGATAGTACTGAGTACCACGTAGGCCGTGCGCAGGATTTTCTGTCCAGTGTACATTTTTAACCAGTCTTACTTGTTAAGCAGCTAACTTATTTTCCTTATCGTGGCATTAGTAATACTGGTGAAAGGGCCGCAAGGTAAAAACGATGTATCTACTATTCGATTGTGTGATAGAGTAAAATGTCGTTTACTATTGACATACCTTGGCATAATTATTGTATAAGTGGATAGTTGGCGTTTAAAATTAATGTTTACCGACCCTCTAAATCCAAAATTAATTGTCAGGTGCAGTGAAAGCACCATTTGGTGCATCAGTGCACACGTCTATGTCAAGTATTTACGATTTACATGTACTGAAACGTCAGTTGGTTTTAACACCACTATTATGAGGTAAACATCTGGGCCCAACGTGCTGCTATAAACACTTTGATTGTTGCGTCACTGCAAACTAACTAATAATGTTCCTCATTAAATTATTAATGATTGTTGTTGAACAATTGAATGTTCAAGAAAGACAAATTAACTTGTAGGTACCGTTAGTATTGGTAGTAGTAAAACTATTACTTCTGTTAAAACATAATATTATGGTTTTAGAGATTAAATAAAACAATTCATATTATAATCCTAATTAGTTTAGGTTCAAGTAATTTATTTATTTATAACAATAGTAAAAAAAAAAACAACCATTCTTTTATATTTCAGTCAAACCGTAGAATTTCTAATCGTGTATTGTTCTTTGGTCAACAGTCCATCTCTGATTTTTTCAAACCTCTGTTTTTGTGGTAACACTATAGCTATAAATCCAAGATCGTCCGGTTTGTCCAACATTATGTTTGGAGTGTCTGCTAGTTTACTGTTCATTTGCACTAGTTTGCCTGGAATGGCCGACAGTATTTTATGCTCTTCGCCGTCGGAACAGTGGACCTTACACAGAGTTGACCCGGCCTGCACAATTTGAGCTCCTCGTTTTCCTTTTCCCGTCATATTATTGCTGAGGCGATCAGTGTTCTCTGACACTTGGAAATCTATTTTGTCGATGGTTTTGCCCATCAAAACATGAGTGGATGCCAGCGACAAGATGCACAGGTTGTTGGAATGAATTAACACACTGTAGTCCTGGTTGGGTTTGTCGTTGACGTTCGTGGCGTACCGAGATTCAAAGTATCGTTGAACGACAGTCGGTGGAACGTTTTCAGTTATGTCAACGGATCGTTCTATCGGTGGAACCGAATCGTCGTCGATACCGAAATCGTATACACTCGGTTTGTTCATATTTATTACAGTCGACACGTCGGTAGTTTGATTTTATGGACACTTTTAAGTTGCGGTCAACACTCGGAATAAATTATTAATATTACGGATTGGTTGGAAACAATCGTTTTTGGTAAAATGATTGGCATGAAGTTCAAATTTAAATCTTTTAATTTTCGTGTACAAAAACGTGCTACTGATAACGCAAAAAGTGTTATCTGAATGTCATTAGAACCAATGGTACCAACTTGAAATATTTATATTATAATATTTCGTTGCCTATTATTTTTGAATTATGAAGGTAAAATAGCCAATAGGTACCTATATTATTATTTTTTATAATAATTGTAGACATTAATTTAATTTTTTGATCAAACTAACAATTATTATTAATTAAACGTTAATTTCTATTGAAATGCATTCATGTGTTTTGTTCATTATAATTATTTTTATTTATACTTTGTAAATAAATATTATGTTGTTGTACTTAATGTAAAATTATATTTCTGCAATTAAAAAAATATAATTTTGTGGTACACGTAAAAGCATTTTTACAATGAATTTAATAAACTACATTTTTGTTAAAACATTAAAACAAATTACCAGGAACTATTCATGTTTTAAAATTAAAATCACCAATAAAGTATAACATTAGAAATGTTATTATTTTCATTGAGTGTGTAATATATTATTAATTTTTAGTTTAATTTTGTTTCAGCTGGTAGTGCCGTTGATGATTTTATTGCTCAACTTGAACCTTTATTGGAAGCTGGTGATATCATTATCGATGGTGGAAACTCTGAATACCAGGATACACAACGCCGAACTAAAGCACTCGCCGAAAAAAGCTTGTTGTTTGTTGGTTCAGGCGTATCTGGTGGTGAAGAGGGAGCACGATATGGTCCATCCCTGATGCCTGGAGGAAATCCAAAAGCTTGGCCATATATTAAGGATATTTTCCAAGTGAGTTGTCCTTAATATGAATATTGAGTTTGTATATTTTCCCTATAACTGGCGGTCATATATATACCATGGACATACACGATCATTAGTCTTGGAATTTTTTAATTATTAATTTGTTATTTTACTTACGTACCAACTTTTATTTAACATTGGTGTACCTATATTCTATAACTAAATAATTTTACTGTAGAAAATATATTATTTTTAGATAATTATTATACCTGTGCTAGTGTGCTTTGTTGTACATTGTATCTTATCATTTAAATTTTCTTTTACCTTCAACTGATATATTTTTCAAATATTATTATAATATACATTTTAAGAAGCAAGTCTTAGTTGATCTGTATACAAATCCTGTTCAAATTCATACCTTTGTTGACCTAGCCTTGATTTTATAAATATTTCCATTAAACCAGTAAAAAAATATAGGTGTTTACAAGTTTATTCATGTCATGCCGACAGTTAAAAATAGTTTTGTTTATTGTTCTAACGACTTGTACAGGGCTATTTGGGCGTGTCATTTGATTATGTTTTCATACTGCCTCAAGGCAAGTGCCTACCAGATATATTATAATATAATAATTCCATACCTACCAAATTGATATTATAATAATGCTTTGAAAGTATAATTACTTTCACTTCGATCAAGATTTTATTTCAAACAATATTAAGAATATAGTATGTAAACAATATTGGTTATTATAGTTAATTTAAATATTATGTTATTATTATGACTGTTAAACACCTATTTCAATTGCATTCCTATTTTGTATTTAACAATATATAATTTACAGGGTATTGCTGCTAAAGCTGATGGTGAACCTTGTTGTGATTGGGTTGGTGAGGATGGTGCTGGCCATTTTGTGAAAATGGTTCACAACGGTATTGAATATGGAGACATGCAACTTATCTGTGAAGCATATCATTTGATGAAATCTGCTTTAAAAATGAACAACAAAGAGATGGGATTGGCCTTTGAAGAATGGAACAAGGGCGAATTGGACTCATTTTTAATAGAAATCACAAGAAACATATTGCAGTTCAAAGACGATGATGGAGAATATTTAGTTGAAAAAATCCGTGATGCAGCTGGTCAAAAGGGTACTGGTAAATGGACCGCTATTTCTGCATTAGATTATGGCGTTCCAGTCACACTTATTGGAGAATCTGTGTTTGCACGTTGTCTGTCTTCATTAATTGACGAGAGAGCAGAAGCTAGTAAAGTCCTCCAAGGACCAACAGAAGTCTTTAACGGAGATAAACAATCCTTCTTAAAAGACATTGGAAAGGTACCTTCATTTGAAATACAGTTAAAATCAGTTACGAGTTGAATTTTCTTGTTGTAACATGTAACCAGTAGCTTGTATGTTCTCGTTGTAAACAAAAAATAGTAAAATACTAAATAAAAAAAATGATTTTCGTTGGTAGTGTAAAACCGTACCTAAACTTATGACACCTTATGATTGGAAGTATTCACAATACCGTAATCTTACTCTTAATCATTATTTATTATAAACTTGAAAATACCAGAACTCTGTACACATTCATCATAATATGTATAGTTATTCACATCTACACAACATAGGATATTAATTTTCTCGTAGTAACCAATTATCATGTAGAATGTGTATGCATGGTGTTTTGCTCGTTGTGTTGATATCTTGTTCTAACCAAATTCGGTGTAAAGGTATATTTGTATGTACCATCAGCATTTTGCTCTTTTTAATTAGCATCTCGTTGTGATTTCTACTGTATTTAAGTTAATTAAATCATTAAATGTTTATATGTTGATGTATTACATACTTACATATGTTATTGTTACAATTTAATATTAATATTTTGTTTAAAGGCACTGTACGCATCTAAAATTGTTTCCTATGCTCAAGGATTCATGTTGATGCGAGAAGCTGCAAAAATACATGGCTGGAACTTAAATTATGGAGGAATTGCACTCATGTGGCGTGGAGGATGTATTATTAGAAGGTTGTATTAAATATTTAATTTTAGCTACAGAAAAAAAAATGTTTAACTCTAAAATGTAATTCTAGTGCATTCTTGGGAAAGATCAAACAAGCGTTCGAACATGATCCAAATCTTAAGAATTTGTTACTCGATCCATTCTTTAAAGATGCCGTACACGATAGTCAAGCAGCTTGGCGCAAGGTGGTTGCTTCAAGTGCCATGCTAGGAATCCCCACTCCAGCATTCAGCACGGCTCTTGCCTTTTATGACAGTTATAGAAGTGCTAGACTTCCAGCCAATTTATTACAGGTAAAATACATACTAAACTTATATTTGGTGTTTGACATTTGGTATAATATCTGTACAATTTTTTATTTTGCTAGGCTCAACGTGACTATTTTGGTGCTCATACATATGAGCTATTAACAGCTCCTGGAAAATATATTCACACAAACTGGACTGGTACTGGTGGTGATGTTTCGGCTAGCACATACAAAGCTTAAGTGTGTAACAAGCACTGATTGGCTGTAAATTATTAAATTTTTGGGACCAAACATACAAAATGGGTTTATATATTCTCACCGATTGCTTGTTAATACCGATTATGTTTTTGTATTCTAAAAAAAATGTCATTTACTCTACTTAAAATTTATTATTTTTAAACCTAAAAAAATATTTATTCACTTCTGTATTGTAAGACAAAATTGTTGTTACTCTCCTTTTTAAACTTTTATATTTATATAGTGTACTGTTATTGTTAAAAATGTATTGTTTTGTCAAAAACCCTTTTTTGTTAATAAGAGTATAATATATTTTTTATTAAAAGTGGTGAATTTCAAAACGTTTAATTTTTTAATCACATTAACTGTTTTGGTGTATAAAAAAAAGTGGAAAGTAGATGTTAGTGTCTAGTTATCAGTTATTGTACTGCTTTAAGTGAACTTTAGTTTAGGAGTACTATTTTTCATCGCTAACTTGGTTGGATGTACTTCAGGAAAAAACTTACTTCCTAATGTTACGGATACTATAAAGCTTTAATATTATCTTACTCATAAACGAAATATAAGTAATTATTCCATAATATCATAAATAATGAAATACTTCATTCAATAGATGTACTTAAGTATGAAACTTCTATGTATTTAACTATATAATATTATTAACTATATATTATGTATTTTATAGTAAATGTTAGTAAAAATACGATTTAACTCAGTTTAAACTATATATAAGGATATATTATAATATCATTAATTATCTATAATTTAAAATTCATAAATTTCAAAAAATATAATATGTTCATTACATTTTATATATTTTTAAACACCATCTTAATCCTTCAGTACTGACAAATTATATAAATGTATATCTATTAAGATTAATCAATTTCAATTATAGATTTAAGTACTAAATATTATATACCTAGTCTTTATAAATTTTAACCATTGATTAATGTTAATTGTAGATTATTTTTGTCTAACACCGTAGGTTTGGTATAGTTCAGCTGCTTTAATTAAGTCATTTTTGTAGATAAGTGTACCTAATAGGCAACATTGGGTAACTCATTTATTAATATTATATAAGAGGTATATTAAATTAGCATGAAAAATAAATAACCGGTTTCTAATTTTTATGTATAATATATTATTATATTACGATAAGATTAAGGTCACAAATGTAGCCGTCTTGATAAACTGAAAATTTAACCAAAGTTTCCTATACAATATGTAGGTACCTATAATAGTTGAAAAAAAACTATGAACTAACTGAAATAATTTACTGATAACATTTTGTTTTTAGATTCTAATAATTTTTTTATGTAGGTAGGTAGGTACTTAGTAGGTACTTACCTAGTTATTTTATATTATAAATAAAGACATTCATGTTTTATTTAGTATATAAACATGGCACATTGGTACCTTCTTGGTTAAAATATGTGAGACATTTAAATAAAACTAGTTCATCTGTGCAGTGTGAACGATCTAATAAAAGCAAAAAACGCATTTTTTTACTTATAATATTTCAGTGAATTCACAGATTATTAAACTTTAACCTAAGAACATTACCTATGTCCCTACATTGGCTATTTTATATTATTTTAATTTTAATATTATAAAATTTCGATTATAGGTATCTATTTTTACGAAACTATGTCCCAATGGTCTGTACAGTTATAATTGTATACGGCTAAATAGAATATTCCAATAATCGATTGTATCAAAATATATTTGTTCTGTTTCTGTGAAATGTCAATTATTTTCCCCCCAGAAATTCTTTGCCATTTTAGATTCTGAGTGGAATGTATTGATTTTACAATGATGTGTGTTTTATTTTTTATTTTTTATTTTCTTTTGTGTCATCACGTTTTAGGGCAGTAAAAGTGCTTGGATTTTCTTCAACAGTAGCTTTTATGATAGGAAAGTGATCTAGTTGGTACTTTGGGGGGGTCAAAAGTGACCAAGTAGTTTTCAAAAGCGGCGTGAAAAACAAAATAAAAATTAAGGAAAAACGGGAATTTTTACACTAAAATGTGTTTTTGAAAAAATCGATTTTGGTTTTTGGTGCAACTCTTCAACAAATGTCCGTAGGTACATGCAATTTTGACTGAATGTTTATATTGAAATTTTCTATACACGATAACATTTTCAAAATTTTTTGATTTATTTTGAACTGTTTAGGCACATTTTCATTTTCCATTTTTTTTTAGTTTTTTTTCTAAAACAATCAATAAAATTTTATTTGTTGGTTAAAAAAGCTTGAAAATTGAATACAAGGCTCTTACTATATTGTTACAATGTCATTTGAAAAATATTAAAAATCCTTAGTCACAGTTTTTATTTATAAGCATTTAAAGTTCAAAAATTGACAAAATATGGAAAAATCACGAAAATAAGCAAATTATTTTGAGTTAAGAATTCGTAAAAATTTTTCTTTTTAAATCTAAGATATTAAAATGTAATACAAGATTCCTTATAAGATTATCTACCTTTATCAAAAAAAAAATGTCTATAAGAAAGTCAAATTAAATTTTTATGAGCGTTTAAAATTCAAATTTTTACATTGGATATTCACTCGATTTCTCATGTAGCGATTTCCTTATTTTGTTGTAATTCAAAAACGAATAACTGTAGATGAAAATTTCACTGGATGTTTATATTAGCATATCCTATACACCATACAATTTTGAAAATATTTTGACTCTTTTTGAGCTGTTTATGGACATTTACAGTTTTAAATTTTTTTAGTTTTTTTTTCTATAAATATCAATAAAGTTTTATCTGTTGGGCCAAAAAGTGTAAAAATTTAACACAAGGCTCCTGATTTATTGTTACAATATCAGTTGAAAAATATTAAAAATTCATAGGCACAATTTTTTTTTATAAGCCTTTAAAGATCGAAGTTTGAAAAAATTTGTCAAATTTAAGATTGAATAATTATTTTGTAGTTAAAAATTTATAAAATGATCAACTTTTATATCCAAGGATTAAAAAATTAAAACAAGATTCCACGTAAGTAGTTAATTCTGTTAACGAAAAATCTAAAAAATACATAAGCACAGTTTATTTTTATAGTCATTTTTAAGTTAAAATTGGGATGAAATTACATAAAAAAAACCTAGAATAACTATTTTAGTTATTTGGTTGTGATTGTATATTATTCGTAAACTTCTAAAGTACCTACACTAATACACTATTTTATATCTATGATAGAATCAGGGTTTGTTGTTGATGTAAGTACCTAATGAATATTGTGATATGATTAATTTTGGAATTTATTATAGGTACCTATTAGGGGTCAATTTTTTTTAATAGCATAGATTCGGCATTCGGCGTCTATTTACGACTATTATTTAAATAATTAATTTTTTGGACTTTTCTCTTCTGATGGCTCATCTGCACACCGAGTACTTGAGTTAGAAATAGAAATCGTGAAAATCGGTCCAGTAGAACTTCAGATATATAATAACTGTCGTAAGAAATTTAGAAATCGCCTCACGTCCTAATAATATATAAAGATACAACGCGGGTCAAAACTCAAAGTAGAGACTCTAAGAGTGAGCAGCGCAGCCTGTGGCCGTTCAATCGTGCGACTCATTTCGGCGCGTTTTTTTTATGCGTGCGAGTTTCAACCACGGTCTCCCCATTCAAGTATTCCCGGTATACCAATATTAGTAAAATCTAACGTGGTCGTGGTATATACAACAACAAACAACCTAAAAAAAAGGGCTCGATCCTTTGTCCGACGTTGGCGGCACATCACACGCTCGCAACGCGTTCATTTCGCCTTCGCGGTTCTCTCCGGCTGGATGCCTGTGCCCGTCTCCTGCCGTTCGCTGTTTTGGATTTTAATTCTGCCATTGTGATCATCCGACCGGGGTAGTCGTCTTACAACCGATTGTTGTATCACGACTTCCTTGGTCGGGGCGGTTTCCGGGAATGCCAGGATCAAAGGTCAAAAGTCAAAACCAAGTAGGTAAGTGTCTTTTATATTGGCATGCATTTCCGTGACGCCGTCGACAACACGTTTTTTTTCTTTATTATTTTACCGTCACATCAATAACCTAATCATATTATATTGCGTTCCCCACTTGAGGGACGTCAGCGGTCAGCGCACTGTTTGTGTTTTCTCTGAGCAGATTAGATCTCTAATGAGGAAAATCACCCGTTACAAAAGTTATGGAGAGACTATATTTTTGATGGTATGACGTCGCATCGATTTCGTGTCGAATATAAAGTAAAATAATAATATATAATTGATACGTGTCGAACTTGGAAAAGTCATAAACCGCATGAAAAACGATTTTCGGCCTAAGCGTTTTATCTCGTGTTGGTCTGACGGAGAACAAATAATAATGCGCTGACATCCTCGTGGCGGAATTTCCTATCAATTTAACAATAATATCGTTTAAAGTATTGTATCCCTTACAACGTATTAATTGTTTACTTGTTTGCAGTGTTCGCGTGACCACTTGTATCGATCAATCGTGGGCCGAATAGAATATTGGAGATGGCCGCCAAACCGCAGGCCGTCGCAACGCACTCGCTCTGGAAATCCTTAGTACAATCTACTCCGACGAACCTCTGAATAAACTTCTGCAGCAGTAATTCAATATTATGTACATTTGATGGTTGTCTATGAACTATTGGGCTAGACGGCTATGTTAACGGTAATTTAAACCTGCACACATCCATTTTCATGGGCGAACTGCAGAAAATTTAATTTTTCTGGTCCTGTAACAAAATAAAATTCTACACCGAGGGCAACCGTTTTTATGTGCGTACACCAGGCACTCTAAGTGTCAATTAGCCACAGCGTTGGCACGTTTGTTTTCATCCGATGGTCATATTGTGGCTATGGGATAAAAGTTGGCGTGCCAACGCTGCGGCACTTAGATGGTTTGTTGTGCGCACGTAAAAACGTCTGCCCTCGTCGTAAGACTCGCGTCAGAGATGTTATTCTCGTTCAGAACGATTAGATAATCTGCAGTTTGCACGTGAAAACG